CAAAGAACTCTATTGTGTTTATCAACTTTTGCACTATATATTATGTATTTGTTGTGTTTATAAAAAAATATTTATTGTTGAACAAATTCACATTTTCTTCTACTTGATTATTTCTCTTCTTGTCTTTGTTACATTTGATATTGTAAAAATTGTAGAGGGTCAGTTTTTATTTCTATTTATAACCAATACAAATTGGCTGACCCACTATAATACAATATTCTTGAAACTATGAATGTTAGAAAGACTTATTTAGCAAAATACAAAATAAATGCAGTGAAAATTCTAGATGCTTTATTTTAAAACAGTTAAATATACAGATCTAATATTTGGGGTTTATCAATAAATTTGATCAGGGAATATCTGTGAATTTTTCCATATTTTTCTTAGATGCTCACCTGTGGATGTTGGTTGAGAGGGTCACCTTTAGCCATTAGAAATGGGATGACTTATATATACTGTCAGGCCATTTTATTTCTGTTGTAATAGCTGTTTTTTGATCCTTCTGCTGCTTGTCTGCCTCCTTGATTCTTCTGTTTCAAATGAGAATTAACAGGACAAAAAGTAAACTCATCAACATGCTGTATTAAATCAAAAGAAGGAACACTGATAATAGAAAAAGAAAAAAAAACACTCCAAAGAAAAGCAGCAAGACTAAATGGGATTATGGGGTGGTAGCACCTGTTAGGGTCCCAACAATGGGCAAATAGTGAACTCTCAAAATGGGACTAAAAAAACAAGTATAAAAATACATTTTTTTTAGTAAAATTAGAAGCAATACATTTTCATGCTTAAAAAAAAAATTACCAGCAATAGATTTTTGAAAAAAAATCAACAATGTTCCCAAGAAAATTAAATTTCAGCATTCATCATCATCATCATCATCATCATCATCATCATCATCATCATCATCATCATCATCATCCTTTGACCTCTCTATGGTTGGTTGGAACTCCATTGACAATTCCTTTCCACACTGTTCAGTCCTGCATTGCTGTCCCCAGATCCCCAATATCCAGCCCTGAGCTATAGTGTCTGGGAAAGTCAATTTTCATGAGAAGATACTTCCAGAAGGATACCATAGAAGTAAGGATGAGACAATCTCCATGTCTACTCAGCATTAAAGACTCATAAGAAGTTCATATGCTGTTAAACAAACAAAACAAAATAAAATAGATGGGACTGTAACAGAGATGATTACAGCTTTGTATGATTTCAGCATCAACAAGATCACAGAAGTGATAAACAAGATATAAAACAATATACAGGAGGTCTCAGGAGATTCATCTTCATTGCATTAACTAAGAAACCAGGTGTAAATGAATGAGAGCTCCATCACACAATTAGTCAAATAAACAAACTAACAAGATGATTCCTGATAAATAGAGCATGAAGCAAAGTTAGACCAGAAATAGAACAAGAACAATGCAACTTTGTCAAAGACACTTGAACAAGACATGGAATATTTAAGATTAAAATGATATCAGAGAGAGCAAAACAAATCCATATGGATGTGCAATTATGTTTTATAGATTATGCAAAAGCCAGTTATGGTAGAAGGATTCATTTGAATTGTTAGGAAAACTAGATCTATTTGGAAAGGATGTAAGAATAAAGCAGATTTTATGTTGGGAGAAAACCACCTCCCTATATAATGAAAATGAATTGAGTATGTACCATGGCGTTCTATACTCCAGGCCAAGTCATGGTGCAACTGAGAGCCAGAACTGGAGGCCTATTTTTAAATGTAGGATTTTCAGAAATTTTTTTAAGAAAATGAATTTCAACCACTTTATGAAATACTTATCGTAACATTTTTATTCACACCTGAGGATAATAGGATGTGTTGAAAGATAAATAAATGAAAATATGTATTTTTAAAATATGAACACTGATAATTATTAAACAACACAAAGGGGTAATTATGATTTCTGGTAAAAGATATATTGAATCAGAAATTTATATTATTTACAGGTGTCACTGAATCCTTTATTCAAGTGAGTGAATAAAGAACGATCCTAAATTTACATTACAGTTACTGGGTTTGACAAACAGAACCCAAGAAGGCTGGAAGACATCAGCTGAAGTGTGTATATAACAATCAATCATCACAGAAATATAGACAAATAAAACAAAATCATTCTAGGAAAGTTTCAAAACTTTTAGAGCTGGTTCTTTTCTGATCTAGGTGTGCCATGTTTGCAAAAAAATTTTCAAAACTATATTTGCAAAAATAGAAGCATGCTTTTTCTCCATGTTAAAAAATGAAACTCAGAAATAAGCATAAAAATGTTACTTAATGATTTATAGCAAACCTTTTCCTTTATTGTATGGAAAAGGATGAAACAAAAAAAATAACCATTGACAAGTGTGGTCAGAAGGAACTTTTAGTTTTCCACGGTCAATTAAATTGGTATATTTTCCATACTTTTCATAATAAAAATGGGTTTCACATTCACTGGGTTGATTATCATTTCTTGTAATATATCCAGCTATGTACACAAGAGCCATTTTTATTTCATTGAAAAGAGATGGTTCTAAATTTTCCAGATTGTCAAATATTTCTGAACCTTCCTCACAAAGTTTATAATCACAAGATGTACATTGGTGACCTGGATTAACATCAAATTCATCAATATTTACATTTTGATTTAAAAGTAAAGATGTCTGCTTAATATGCAGCTTTTCAATACATTGTTGGACATTTATAAAATAGGTGCCACCTGATCCTTGGCGAAGTTTACCAAATTCTTTTTCTAATGGATCAGTTGAAAATTGCCCAAGTAGTACATATTTATGACTTGTAGCTAAAAGGTGTCAACATAGACTAACAATTCCATTGCAAATATGATGTATGGCAGTAGCAGTGTTTTGTGATAATTGTTTTTTTATGATTACCTTGACTGCCAGCCATATTAAGAGCCATTTTATCAAATTCAATGATAAAATCAAGTTGGGTGTCATTTGGAGATTTGATTTCAGCTTGTAGAGGATCATTATGTAATTTATCAATTTGAAGGCATTTAACATTTAAAATTTTCCACTATGTCAAAACCTTGTTTATGAAGAGGGCAGTATCATTCTTACCTGCACTTATTTCAGACTGAGTGAGAAGTGCATTATATGTTTTTTCAGAAAACACTCTGAGGCAAGTAAAAACCCGTTGTCTTTCTATTGGCTTTGGAGCAATGGAAATTTCATTTAAATCTGAAAGTTTGACTAGTCTTTCAGATTCAAAATGATATAACTGTTTAAGATGTGTCCATTTTGCAACTCGACTTACTCCATCATCATCAAAGATTAGTTCTCCTGTTTTTTCTATCAGCCTACAAATTGCGAATATTATTCAACAGATGAACATAATCAAAAAGCAAATGTTTATTATCTTCAGTTAACCAAGGTTTTTCAGGAAGTGTAGGATATAATTTAAAAAAAGCTTGATTTACGCAGTTGACATCATATATAATAGCCTTTACATCAGCTGGTACAGATGTGATGGCTTGAACTGTTATCTCAATTTGTTCAAATAAAAAGGCGGATGTTAATTTTGAAATTGGAATCAATTTTGTAAGAAAATTTGGACCCCCATTGAGACATATGAACATTATACCAAGTACTGTTTGAGCAAGTACAGATGGATTGTCAACTGATTTACCAAATAGTTGTTTGCCATCATATAGCAACATGTTTTTGATCTTTACTTCATCATGGAGAATTATGCACCCTTTTTGACTGGTATTAAGAGTATTAAATATAGATAACAAAAAAGATTTTTCATTAAGTTTTGAAACTTTTGACATCATCCTTCATAATGTTGCTAATGAGGGTAATTGAAAATCATATCTTAATTCATTATACAATGTCCGTGATCTTGCATAGTACCCAAAAGCATGCACAACTATATCTGAACTGTATTTTATTCCAACCATTTTGGGAGCCATTGCTAAAAATTATTGACTCAGGATATTTTTCTTGTGATCAAAAGCCATAGAATTTAAATATCGGATTTCTTCCAGTTTTGACCAAGTATCAACTGTATTTATATGATTTTTGGACAGGCTGCTAATATAACACTTAACTCCATAATGAAATGTTTCAAAGCGCAAATTGTTATAAATTTTCAACATAAAGCGAAGAATACCATCAATAGATTTTGATAATTGAACAGTTAAAATATTTTCATCCAAAAATGCTACAACTGGACATATAAAGTCTTTTTTGTTGAAGCAGACTTTCTTTCAAATTTGTATAATTTTATCTAATTCTAAAAAAGCATTAAGTTCATCAGCAATTTGATTTCTAACAGTACTGGAGGTTTTTTTTATTCCTTTGAACAGCTGAGGGTGTTGGTATTTGACTACTTGGCACACCTGGCCATACAGATGGTGGATTTTTTGGACGTATTTTTCCATTAACTTTTATGGTATCAAAATTTGAAGGCCAATGTTGTTTATTTTAAAACTTTATATTAAATTTAAAAACATTCATAAGTAGGCTTTCCTTTAGTTTGGTTATTTTAATACGCTTTAAACTATATAAATTGGAATACAGTGTAACCCGGATATAAGAGAGTTGTCGGGACCGGAGACGAAGTCTCTTATATCCGGGTTTCTCTTATATCCGGGTTTGGTCTATTTTGTTTAGGTAAGTATGGGAACACTTCATATAACGCATTTTACGTACAGAACACTAGTTTATTTAACAGTTATAGACATAAAAAACACAGACAAAAATACATTTTCAATCAGTTTTCAAAATAATTCAATCAAAAATTACTTTTTCTTAAAAAAGTCAGTCATTTTTGATTGTATAGAAATCTCTTTGTTAACATCATGAACACTTTCATACAGTCCGTAAATCATTTTCAATGCGCCATCAGGATACTGCTTTTTGCTTCAAAGTAGGCTGTCAGAGTTTCAAGCGCATTCAATGCAGCCAGAGAATTTGGCACTAGTTTGTCACTTTCAGAAACTTCAGAACTTACGATTTCGTCAAAATCTTGATCATCCGATTTTATACCACGTGTCAGTCAGTTCTCCATAACATTGTGTACGGTCGTCGAAGCTGATAAATTCGTCAAAATCTGTTTGCCGTGGTTTTGCCGACTTACCAACAACTACAGCTTGCTTTTCACTGCCGTCCATGTTTGTGAACTGAAGCATCGTGAGTCTGTCTTTGGGAACTTTTGTCCCATTTGACTGTTCGTCGCCGGCAAATCGCAAAGATCCAGACGGCATGGCTTTGTAGAAAATTCCCGTTTCATCACAGTTCCAAACATCTTTTGGATCATATCCACGAAAAAGATGCGGCAAAACGTTTGTCACCCATTCGTTGGCAGAACCGTGATCTGCTGACGTTGATTCGCCGTGAAATTTTTTGAACGAAACGTTATTGGCCTGCTTCCAGCGCATGAGCCAGCCATTGCTCGGTTCAAAATCAACTTCAAGATTTACGGCCAGTTGTGATGCTTTCTGCCTGATGACGTGATCGGTGGCGGTAGCTCCATGAGCACATGCTTGCGTAAACCATTGTGTAAGCACTTCGTTAAAGTCCTTGTGCACGGATTGGCGCTTTCGTTTGCGATTAGTGTTTCTGTTCATTTGCATGCAAGATCTGAGATCGTCTTCTTTCTTGAGAATTTTTGCTGCTGTTGAATAACCGATTCTGTACTTTTTGGCTGCAGCGGCCAGTTTGAGTTTCTTCACCTTGACATCGTCGATGAGCTCCAACTGTTCAGAAATGCTCAGAGTTTTTCGTTGAGACGCCGACATCACTAATCGCAATGATTGCAAGCAAACGGTTTTTATTGGTAAAATTAACAAACAAACAAACTTCTGACTCAACAGAACAGTGGGTTAAGTGAAAGTGCTGTCCAGTAAATGCAACGACAAGCAAAGTCGGCAAAAAAGCGGGCGGCACTACCCTTAGACACACAAAGCAAAATCATAAGGTAGAGGGTGTCTCCTACAGACACAGATTGGACACACCGTGTCTCTAGACTAGTCAAGATTAAGTCATTGAACTTCACTCTCTCTCTAACTGACCTCTGTTTGACCGATTTACGACATCACACTGTCACTCAAAACGAACTCCCTTATATCGGGGAGGACGGGACCAGAGAAAATCTCTTATATCCGGGTTTCTCTTATATCTGGGTCTAATTTATATACATTAACACGGGCTCTAATTTGGGACCAGAGAAAATCTCTCTTATATCCGGGTTTCTCTTATATCCGGGTCTCTTATATCCGAGTTACACTGTATATATAACTTTTTTTTTACCTTAAAGCAAAACAATTAAAAGTAAAGTAAAAATAATGCATTTTGTCCTTTAACAACAATATCAGAAAAATATTAAAATAAATATGATAAATAAAATGGTATTATTATACTTGTCTTGTAAAATAAATTTTGTAGTCAAAAGGCGTAAAAAAGGGGACCTTTCTAAAAAAAAAAAAATAATTAAAATATTGACATTAACTGCATGTAATAAATTTATTATTGTTATTTTTTCTTTAATTCTAATAAGTAAAAAAACACTTACAGTTCACCAATTGGTAACTGTCTTTAAATTAAATTCTGTTCAAATTTGTTAAACGTTGTTTTGTTTTGCTTCTTAAAATAACACAAATTACTAAAAAAGAATTGCATTTTATCAATAAATAATTCTTTAAACTTTAATCAAAAAATGTTGAACAAACTTTAAGAGGGAAAATGCCAAAAATGAATTAAACTTTAATTTAAAAATGTTAAGGCTTTTTAAACTTAAGTAAATCTTTTTTGCGAGTAAATTTAAGCACCAAAGTTTACTTTTTACAATTTAAATATAAATAATGTATGGACTCAAGCTAAAATAATCAAATATACTTCAAATAAATAAGTTAAATGATATTCCAACCAAAGGTAAAATTAAAAGATTCCTTTGAATTTCTCGAGCCAACAACATAAGAGTACACAGTACGCAGCAGTTCGCTCAAACTGAAACTAAAATGATCTAATTGTCAGCCGGCCTCCAGTCTATCGAGGTAGCGGCATTACACAGAGGCCTGTTAATATAGAACGCCATGGTATGTACACAAAACTAGAAAATAACAAAAGCCAAGAAGCTGTCTTCTCACTAGATGTTTGACTGTTACTGCAATGCTATCCTAAGGGAGCTTCAGACCCTACCAGAACTTATAACTGGGAGGCACAATTTTAATAATATAAGGTAAGTAGATGGCACTGTATTGAAAGAAAACCACAGAACCTCCTAAACAAGGTAGTAAAGAAAAGCAAGAGAAAAATAGATTAGCCATCAACTGTAAGAGGGCAGAAAGCATGGTTGTCATCAGCAAGGGGAAAAGCTCATAATACAAACTACAAATTGGAAATAAGAAGATGAAACAAGTATAGAAATCTAAATATCTGGGAAAACTTTTAACAAAGGATGGAAAATACAACACTGAAATCTAAAAACACATCAGATTAGCAAAAAATGGATTCCAAAAGCTAAGCAAAGTAATAAGAAGCAATAAATATTTTGTTAGAAACTAGTGCTGAGTTGGACCATCTCACCACAGATAGGAGCAGATATGTTTGCCTATTGCCTTGTTCAGACGCCTCCCCAGTCTTTTGAACAGGAGTAAAGGTTTATCCTTTATATCCTGTTTAGGATTAGGTTTCCGGTTCCTTCTAAATGTCTATTTCTGCTCTTCTAATATTTGTCCTTTCCTATGCTAATATAAATCCACACAGTAACACTTTACCTTGAGTAGCTCTTGGGCCTTGTATTGGGTGAAAATTAGTAAAAAAGAAAAAAAGAGGAAAACTGGAGGCAACAAAAATGTGGCTCTACAGAAGGATACTGAGAATTTCATGGATGGTGTAGGTAAGCAATGAAAATCTTAAAGAAAATGGTAGCCAAAAAAACATTTATACTCAGAATCAGAAAAAGAGAACTGAAATTTCTTGGATACATAATAAGGAAAACTTAACCCTCACAGAACACATTGAGGACACAAATAATAAGGAAGGCGGCAGGCCACCTACCTGATTAGCTTGAGTAAATAGATACTGAATTGGGAGATGGGAAGGATAACAAAAAGACAAATGTTACTAAGAGCAACAAATGATAGGATGTTGTGGAGGGTCATGATCTCCCACATCTTGAAGGGTCACGGCACATAGAAGAACTTCGCCATCTTAATCTTTATTTTTCTCTTTTGGAATTTTTTCCCTGCTAGAAAGGATATATGTATCTGTCTATATTTCTGAGATGAGGTATTATGTAAACTATTTACATTATTCGGACAATTGTCTTCATCTTTGTTGCCATATTTATCACAACGTTTTGGCCTTTCAGTATCTGTCTATATTTCTGAGATGAGGTATTATGTACACTATTTACATTATTCCGACTATTGTCTTCATCTTTGTTGCCATATTTATTACAACATTTCAGCCTTCTTCATGACACATGGAAGTAGAACAGTCTACTCCAGTGAGGAAAATAAAGGTTTCAGTTTGACATTCTGACCACCTGAAGAAGGCTGGAGCATACAATGGCCAAAACATTGTAATAAATATGGCAACAAAGATGAGGACAATAGTCCGAATAATGTAAATAGTGTACATAATACTTGATCTCAGAAATATAGACAGATATTGAAAGGCCTAAACTTTGTAATAAATATGGCAACAAAGATGAGGCCAATAGTCCAAATTATGTAAATAGGATATATGTACTATTCAAAAAATGGAATTTTCTTTTTAATATTCCAGTTTTTCAAAGGATGTTTTTTGTTTCTGGTTTTCTTTTTTGCCTTTTTTAACATTCAGGATCATTTTAAATTAATTCATAATTTAACAGTGTTGAAAAAAAAAAGATGCATTTTTAAGGAGCAGAAATAAGTAATGAACAGTGAGATATAAAGAATTTAAGCTGGATAATAAATTAATAAGCTAGATAAAAATTAATTATTTGGAAATGTAAGAATATTCCCAGCATTTATATAGAACCTATTATGAAGTGCAATTTCCTTTATATTTTATCAAGTCAGTTGTAGTCATTTATTTTGAATACTGAATACTGATCTACTCATACTGCTTGGACATTGATATAGTGTATGCCTTATCTATGCTATATCATAAAGAAACATTAAAAAGTTTTTCTGACTTAGATTGATTACCAATGGTAAAGCGTTTTCATATAATATTAAATCAAGGTGAACAGAATTTCTGCCAACAAATATATTTGATTAGAGCAATAATTATTAAATCACAAATAATAAAATTCTATACTTATCAATGTCAACTGCTTTATAATTCCTAACTCATCAGAACTTTTGATAAAAATTATTTAAACAATCATTCTTATTAAAAGTCTTGACGCATGAGAAATTATAAAATTCAGAGTTGATCACAATAAATATTGAACTTTATTAATTCTGATTCAATAATATATATATATATATATATATATATATATATATATATATATATATATATATATATATAGTTAATATTAGTGGTAAATATACACATACATATGCAAAATATATAAATATATATATATCGGTGCATACACATACATGTATATTTTTTGAATAAAAAATTCCAAGAGGATAGAATCCAGGTAGAACTCAATGTCCAGGACAGAGTAAGGATATAATAAAAGGCTTAAACACTAATATTCCATGGTCATAATTTATTCCATTGGAATTGTAAATATGATCCAATTCATCAGACCTACAAATTTGTAGGTCTGATGAATTGATCGTATTTACGATTCCAATGGAAAAAATTATAACCATGGAATATTAGTGTTTAACCATTTTTATTATATATATATATATATATATATATATATATATATATATATATATATATTTTTTTTTCTAAGGTAATGGATTTTATTTATTAATCCAAGAAATTTTTATCACTTTAAACATTATTTTTAGTAGATACTAATATTTGAATAGTTGCTACATTTATTTATTAACCAGTATATTTATTTATATATTATATTATTCAAACCTGCATGATCCAATGTGCCTCAAGTGACTCAGCCACAGAGCAACCTCACCAATAAAGCAAACTTTGAAGTAATTTTCTCTGTTAATGACATTTTGAAATCTTTTGTATGGATAAATAAAATTCATTACCTTAAAAATTACTTTGTTTATATTTAGATATGAAACTAAGCAGATATGAAAATTTCAAGGAATTTAATACAAAAATGATTTCACTAAAAACTTCAAACTTTGACTGGTTGGTATTAAAAATAACATTTAAAGTAATAAACACACACACACACACACACACACACATAAAGTCAACTCTGAGTATAGCAATAAAGTGCTTAAATGTTTCTAGCATCAAAATTTTACACACATATATATATATATATATATATATATATATATATATATATACACATATATATAATAATAATAATAATTAAGTAATACAAAAGTTGCATCCCTTGCATGAAAAAAACTCATGAATTTGAAATTGACATAGGACGATAAAAAACACAGTAAAAAGAACAATAAAAATGTTTTGAACTTACAGAAATATGTATACACATACACAAACAACGTAGCCCCCTTAAGATGATCTCAGATGAGCCTAAAAATACTTTGGAAAATAAAAATGAAGTCCAGCAGCCATGTCTTGTAAACTACAATCTTGTACCCAATGTAGGATTGTCTGTAAGTCTCTTGTGAGGATTGAAGTGTCATATTTGGCATAAACATGTATCAACTAACCTATAAATTGATGGATACTC